CTGTCAATATGATTCTACTCACTTTATCAAAAGGTACTGCCTAATGATGTAAAACGACTCTCAAGAATTCAGTGGAAATCGTTCAATTGCTGATTAAGCTAATTCAGTTTGTTTATGTCTGACAGACTTTCCCACGAAAATCCTTAAATTTATAACCAGCCAATTTACGGGTTTGTGCAAAAAAAGAAATATAGAGAGACTGTTATTTATGCATGTTAATTAGCAAGGGAATATTGTCTTGTTCATTTGAAGGCTGATAACATACTTAAATACTCAAAATAAGCTATTCAAATATTAAATTAAATTTACTTAAAGCCCTGACCAGACTGTGAAAATCATGTGACATGCCTAAATATGGTCATGATGACATCACATCATGACCATTTATAGGCACGTCATGACTATATATGGGCATACAACTGTGTACAATTTTATTATCTCAACTCAGACAGTATCTTTAAATATAAACACATCTAATCCAGAATCAGACTTGAAACACACATTGTCAGCAGGTTCATCATATCTAAGACGATTGCACGCTGCGATAACGACAACTACGAAATGAAAGACAAGTCACATGGTACGCCATATGACGTCCTCGTCTGTTTAGTCATTGCATCTGGGAGCAGTGGGATTTAAGGTGGAAATGAATCCCCTTATCAAAGCGCTCATCAGAATCCATTGAAAATGTCTACCACTGACAGATCAAAGGGCTCCTCTAATCCCAGATAATGTGGCGCGCAGTATATCATCATTCTTTCGGTTAGAAATTGAAGAGATAAAAGCGTGAATTGCTCGCTTCCTTGTATCTTGCGCAAGGATCACATTTTCCTGTGATTGCTTGTTTCCTTCTATCCTGTGCAAGGATCACATTTTCATGTGTTTTTCATTTAGAAACATACACGATTAACCTCAGAGACTATGTAGGTATTTTTCTCGCATGTACAGACCAACTTACGAAGATACAACAGGGAGTCAATAGGTATATGACCTTGGTTCATTCAGTCAGCAGAGGGCAACCACACAGTAGTTGTCTTCTTGCCATCACAAAGTAAAATTAAATCTAATTTTTCTTTCCAACTATGTGAATGTTCTACTTCAAAGCTGTTGATTTTCATCAATATTGAACCTGGTTATCATAATCCTCTTATGAATTATCCTCGAGTACAGATATAAAATGTATTTTTATATTATTCCTTCGCAGGTGTTTTTGGTCAAAGTTTAGAAGACACAATCACCGATGAAAGCGAAACCACAACACGGTTGATTCCATATGTGGTAGAGACTAGTGTTGCATATTTACGAAAATATGGACTAACCGAGGAAGGCATTTTCAGGTACAAAAGACATACTTTTGTCTTTGCAAATATGTTTTTATAATGTTTACTCACTATACACACCTGGAAGAAATATCTCATTGAAACTATTACATAAAAAAAGCAAATGTGATCATATAATTAATTTAATATTCATGTTAATTAATTATAATTATACCTAAATTTTTAATCTTCATTGCTATTTTTACTGTACATTATCATAAATCTTAATCTTTTTAAGTATGTAATTAGAATTCACACGTTTATTAGCTTGTGGTTTAGGAAATTAACACTTGGTGATTCATATATATGAATCATTATGATGTTAATAACATTTGGCCTATACTGTATTAAATTTTTATGAATAATAAGCTTTTAGGGAATTTGATATATGTCAGTCTTAAATAATGGGAAAAAAAATCTGTTTTTTTAACCACAGATTAAACGGAAGAGCAGGACTTATTCAAGAGCTACAGGATGCTTTCGACTGCGGACAGCGACCAAATTTGGAAGATTTTGATGTCGATGTCCACACCGTTGCGTCCTTGTTAAAGAGGTATTTCCAGATGTTACCGGAACCTGTAATTCCGTGGGCACACTACAAGTTCTTTGAAAATGCCATCAGAACTCTGTTTCAGAACGAAGAACGTGGTCGCCACGAACTCATCATCCAAATTGCGCTTCTCCCGCGCATTAATTACAACCTGCTAAAATTTCTTTGCGATTTTCTCAATGAAGTGCATAAGTATGAAAGGCAAAATAAAATGGGACTAGGTAATCTGGCGAATGTTTTTGCGCCGCACATTCTCCGTCCACGCCGAGCCGGTGGGTTCATCTTACTAGGAAGCACAGCGTTAAGTCTTCAACTTGTACACTACTTAATAAAAAATCCAGCGAATATGTTCCCACCCACTAACATGATAAATTTTGATGCTGGCTCTGTTGCGCGTCCACGGTCGATTATCTCGATGCATTATACCAATGAAGCAGAGACGTACGTGAACTTGCGTCACACGTCATTGAATAACTCGCACATGAAAGACAAATCACAGCATGCCTCATACCGAAGGAACAAAGATCCTCGTAAACGCTATGGATTCTCTTTCCACGATCAATCTGAAATGGCAGAGGAGATCGTCAATCAAATGAAAAAGGATGGTAAAACAGAGGAGATTTACCAGAATCAGATTCAGTTGAATAACGAATTGTACGATGAGCTCCAAATAGATAACAGCAAAAAGAAGTTGTCGTCTCACACGTCAAATGGTTACGTTGTACCAAAAGCACAAATTGCAAATGGAAACGTTCAAGGCACTGATGAAGAACTTAACTACCTAAATATTGAATTTTCCTTGAACAATCAGGACAATCGTTCAACATACGAGAAACGAAAAAGTATTGAACTGACCAATCAGCTGTTGTTATTGCAAAAGAAACTAACGCAAAAGGAAGAGGACTTTCAGCGGCAAAAAAAGAAATGTGAAAAAACCCAAAGACAGATGGATTCATTGAAGTTAAGACTTTATGGGGAGGTAAAGATATAAGAATTTTGCGTAGTTTTTGTTGTTTATTGCAAACACAATGGTCTATATATTATGTGGCAACACAAACCAAACCAGTTACTTGTCGCAAATGCTGTTTCAGAGATAATGGCCAAAACATGCTGGAATGACACAATTTTTGAAATCTATTTTATTACACTAAACTGACCTTATATATCTATATATCATGCTATGCTGTTATTTTCCCAATTTTTAATGGTAAAACAATTGTTTCTGCCTGAGCAATGCCCAAAATCATAAACTTTGAAGGCTGATTTCTCAAATATTGTTCTTTAAATAGCTGTAAGGTTAAACTTCTGTAACTTCATAACAAAATGTCGGATTAAAATTGTTTTTTTTTTACCATTTTATAGCTCTCATTTTACTGTTTAACCCTGTATTAATAACTAAAAAAATTGATTATTGCGATGAGTGACTGGTTTGACTTGTCTTTGCCACACATGTGGTTTAGTTTAACAAAGAATAATAAAAGCATCAGTAATAAGAAAGAAAAAATGTTCACCTAAAAACAAACAATAGAACACTTCTTAGTGAGTGGCAGTCCTATCCGTAATGAGTGGCAAGACCGATTAACAATGACATCATATAGAGTTAGGCCTACAACCTACAGCAACATAAAATGTTATTACCATAGCTGATGATAATCAGCATCATCATAATCAAGAGAAATGGTTATGATTTAGATGATGATGATTATTATCATGATCATAATGGTCTCTAACAATAAGTAATTAAATCTGAAAACATGAGCTTTACACTATGTTTTTCTACATTTGAAAGAAAAAGTAAATAATATTTCTTCGTAATCTGTAAGAGATGGTGAGTGATTCCTAAGTTTTCCAACTTGGCCCAGCTTCCTAATGTACACATGTGACACACAATCATCATTCCTTTACTCTCATCCCAAACTGACAAGCCTGAAATAAAAGTAAGCTTTTGCGAAAACAGTTGCACTCCGTTAAACCTCCAGAGATTGGGCAAAGCCAATCTTGAGCAATTTTCTCTTTAATTTTTCAATAAAAATTGTATTCATAATTATTAAATAATATAATTTCTGAACATTGAACTGTCTTTTAATGAACATAGGGATATTTCCCCAAATTAATAAGCATAAAGTTTTGAAAAGTCAAGACATTTGTGAAAACAGTTGCACTCTTCTCCCTCTAAGGATTTTCCAAGCAATCTTCCATTATTTTCCATGAATTTGTTTCCCCCACTAAACCAAATATTATAATTTTTTTAAATTGTGGAATCTGGCAATTTTCCATCTTGTCAAATTTATATTACTGCAAATGATTTTGACCTTACGGTTAAAATATTTGACCTACTCTAATTCACATTATGAGGTCATTGTTCGCAGCCAAGATTTTAAAAAAGTTTTGCAATGTCATATATTTATGCTTTTGGCTACACAAGTTATATATAATTTTTTTCAGTTACATTCGCATATAGCAAACATTCAATAAGTAATCCATGTCAAAACTCATGTCATAATGCTACAATATAATTATTATATGTGATGTCATATCACACCCATATTATAAGAATGTAAAATCACATCCACATAATGGAAATGATGATGTCATATCACATCCACATATTATAGACATGATAATGTCATATCATATCCATATATGGGCATGATGATATATCTCACCCATATAGAGACATGATAATGTCAAATTGCAGCCATATTATGGGCATGGTGATGCCATATCACACCCATATACAGGCATGATGACCTCATATCACACCCATATATTGGCATATTATAGGTATTTGTTACATAATACAAGGAGGTAACACTATCAGATTTCTATCAGACTCAATCTGTCAATGTTGAATTAGATTTTTATCCCATTAAAAACAATTTGCGGCATTCCATTTCTGTTGGAAGTCGGACAAAGCACACTTCATCAGGCAAATTCTGATTAAACGCTCTTGGAGAAAAAATATTGACAACAAAATTCACTCTCTATTTAGGCTCACAGTAGAAAAGTATTTAGATCAGTGATGTTTTATTTATCAATGCATCATACCTTTGAAATTGACTTAGACAAGTCATATCTTTTAGTGTGAATATTAATGTATACAATGTTTTAAATTGAAATCGAACGCTATGCGCTAACAACTTTTCATTTTATCTCTGGTCTTTGATTATTTCCGACACGTTATCTACGATATCCAATGATAGTAACGATTTCTGATTGCAAATGGTGACTCACTATCCCTCCGTCAAATTGCAGTACACTAGAAATGATGACATCATCGATTTTTGTTTGTCTTTCAGGAAGCGGCAAGAGCAGCTGCTGAGGAGCAGAGTCGACGTCTCCTTCAAGAGGTTGATAGTCTGAGAAAGCGTCTAGGATTGAGGAAAAATCGTTCCGTGGACGGACCATGAAGAAACCCAGAATCGCAACATGACTTCGAATCAATCATCACATCACTATTTGCGTAGACCGCTTTCGGTTTTAGGTTTTTCTTTTTAAATTATGTAAATACAAAGATGTTATATGTGATATAACTTCAATATATCATTGTGAAATTATTTAGTAGAAAATATTTCATATTAATTGCAGATGTTGAAATAATACATTAATAAAATATTTTCTGTTGCATTTTATATTGCAACAAGATTTTATATTTAGTTAAAATATTGGTGCAAAATTATTTATTTATAGGTCATCGAAAATTATGGACGTGTCAAGCTTGGCACAGTATAAGATGACAATAAGAAGAGAGTGCCTGTTAATGCTAGTACTTCTGTGATTATGCTAATTGCTCATTTACATAATCAATAATAGTAATAATAACACACATATCCATGCTAGAGTACTTAAAATATTTACAAAAATTATCGCGCAATGATCGATATAGGAAGAAAGTTAAATATTGGAGAGTCTGTGGCAGAAGCGTATCTGGAAGTCTTGAAAAGGAGGTGCTGATGGGGGCGCGAAGGTAAAGTGGTGGCTCGATGATCAGTTGAGGGGCGCTAATTCGCAAAATATGGTGATTATAGGTGATTTTTATCTACTTGACCGTGATTTCTGGGGGAGACTAGGGGGGGGCAGGCGCCCCCCCACAACCCCCCTAGATTCGCCACTGGTCTTTAGGAGATATCCATGGATGGATAGTGGTGCACAACAGATGTTAATAATTATTATTGTAAAATGTAAAAGGAGTAATTCTATTTTCATTTTGTGTTTTCATGGTTAATTTTTTGACAGCATTTTATTTTTTAATCTTTTGTATTAAAATATGACAATAGAATTTACAATTGAAAATGTACAATAATCACATTCCTCATTGACTGAGGAGTCCAGGTTTGCAATGTTATTTGTTTTGATAGCCTAATTATATATCTTTTTAAAGTTAGATTTTAAGTTTTATATTTTTGTACACCATTGTTTTATCATTAAAATAAATGTGAAATTTAATGAGAAATGTAGTTACGTCTATGTAAATATATAACGGTGATGAAACCAAAGTGTTCAATATTGATATCCCTGAAGGGATGTGGCAGGCCAGGGGCCTCCAAAAACCCTTCTCAGAGGTCCAGAGGATCGAAGCTGCGGATACTCTACGATTTAGATATTTGAAAAATAATCAATTTATTCCCTCAATGTAATTTTATTATACCATGTTGTGTAAATAACAATAAAGAAATATCATATCGTAATATTGTCATGATCTGACAAAATTATGTAGGGATTCTTACTCCCAACTGGGGGAAGCTGTCCCGAGGCGGTAGGGCCCTCCGCTCACACTTCAACCGGAGACACCACTGATTAATTATATAGGCGATAAGGATAGAAATACTTTTTTAAAGTTTTCTGAATATTTGTTCTATAGAGGGCTCACTTTACAAAAATAAAACTAACAATCTTTAATTTTTCATCAAAAAACGAGCACTCTAATTGGAGACTGAACGCCGAGACCACCCTAAATTTTCAGGTCTTGAATTTGAGGTGGTCTTGGGTTAGATGGGCAGTACACAATTTTTAATAAATAAAAACAAATTTTGTAGTATAAACGGAGTAGTATTAAAGCTACATAAATACATTTTTTGAAATAAATAAGAATTTTTTTTAGGTACACATTTTTTTTTCTATGATCCAAAAGTGATCTATTTATCACCTGATCAAATGAACTTGTTTATTAGAGTCTTTTCTATTTGGATATATTTAAAATTTCGAGGATGTTGATGCATTGAAAGCATGATAAATATAAGCATGGGCTGGCGCCTATATAAACATTATATAGTACTATAGCAATTATTTGTGTATAGGTAATTCGCGGCGTGTACAATAAGACAATTCCCGTATAAGGTGACCCGCATTTATTTCGACATTATTTCAAAATACCACCCCAAATTTGAGGTGGGAAAACGGTCAGTAGCTGTTTTCTAGTTATCAATTTGGAGATGATTCTCGACTTTTGTGAAATGTTTTTAATATTCGAGTTACACTATTATGACAATATTATGTAAATAGTAATTTGTGTATGTTTGTATGTAGCCAACTGCATATGTAAAAGCGTCAAATGGGAATAAAAGGCATTTTTGTGCAGACGGTTTCTAATTACGTTGTTCCTATTAAAAATTGTTTTATGATGATGATTTAGGGTAAGCGCAGTCGATAGATAAAGTGGACGGGGAGAATGATTAGGATGATAAATGCTTGCATTGATCACGTTTGCTGATAAGTGGGACCGATAAACGTGCACAGGTGGATGGCTAATGAGGCGCAATGAGTAAAATGAGGATGTGGTTACCATGGGAATACAATGGAAGTGGGTAAGATAGAATTATTGGGTCGAGGTTCAGGAAAGGATTGAGGGTGATGATGAAGGTGTGTGATCAGGTAAGCAATGACATTTATTAATTATAGGGCGCAATGAAGGAGGCAGGTGAATTGATTCATGACAGATAGGGCCACGGTGGATGTGGTGGGTAGGGTTATTGATTACTGATGGGACGAGATTAGGAAAATGATTAAGGGAGTGCGATTGAATGGTGAAAGGCAAAATGGAGGATCGTTGAAAGTCCAATTGAATAAGAGGTGAAATTGAGGAGGTAGGAAAACATTTTATTTTGATATAATTCTATGCGGAAGCAATAAAAAAAATTCATGTTATGCAAGAGACAGACTAATTAGAAATATGCTGTTCTATCAATTCTATCGAATGAACAGCAATGCAATTAATCGTCATCCCCAGACCATAATCCATGATAATTCTAATGTAACAATTTATAGAGGGCGCTAATTGCAGTTTATGTCGTTATCACATTTCATCAACATCGAACAAAATTAAAAGGAAAAGAAATTATTTTTAATTTGTAAGTTGTAAATGTAAATGAAACGCTTTACAAGAACGTAATTCTCAAATTTTAAAGGAACCTCCTCAAATCGCCGCATGTTCAGCAGTAACAAATTATAGATGGCGCCATTGTAGTTTTTTGGCTTTATCACGTCTCATCAACATCAAACATATCAACAAGAATCTATTTTCAAATATGTAAATATTTTTCAGATGTAAGCCTCATTACTTGGTAGATCAAGCCAGAAAAAAGTACGGGGACACGTTATTCCTCCTTCCGCTTTAACAGAATCTTACAATTGTATTACTTAAAATAGATTTTGAAACTGTGGGTGCCCCATGAACGTAATGTCTTCTTTGCCCGTTCTAGAAACCTTTCAACAGCTTATAAAGTATTAGGCTTATCATAAAACGCTTAACATGTATGTGTATTAAGAAATGCTATATGGCATATTTTCGGAAAGATGATGATATAATAAATAGAGATAAACTCTTAATCATCTTGCGGTAATGCTATAATTTTAAAATTATATAAATTAAAAATTTGCGAGTGCGAAAAAACAGTTGCCCAAATCCGAGACCTGTCTATGCAGAAGCCTCAACGAACTCCTCGACTACTGGAGTTTCGTTGAGAATTCGTCATCTGATTTGCGTTAAGTTAAACCAATCTGCATACAACGTTGTTTCGTCCTTTAAGGACTCATCAGTGCACCGTCTTCATACCACATTTAAATACTATTAAGTACATCTTCAGAGTCCCGAGGCAAAGTATATTAATTTGCATCGCACATAACAATACATCGTATAAATTCTGGTTGTTGAAGGGTACTTTGCAAAGATGGGAATTGAGGAAAAGTAGGAAATGGGTTAACGGGTTGAAATTTCAATTCGCGTGTCAAGAAAGTGTCAAACGGACAATTATATGGAGCAGTCTTTGGGGTTAATGCGCCAACTGTCTGAATGAGTTGTCTTAAAAGTGATGAAGAATGCAATAATATGTTACAAAAATCGATTAATCATTCACTATTGTACTAATGTATCTATACTGATTATTTTTTTTTTGTTTTCTCGATGTCAAATAAAGGGTTTGGGGGTGGTTTGGTTGAAAGTTTTAATAACGTTGAGTAGTAATTTGTAGCTTTGAGTTTCATATTCCAATACATAGCTATACATAATTTGTTTGCATCAGTCCGGATCTTCAATTGGATGTTGATGGGAGCGTTAATGTCATTTCTTAATTCCATCTAGGCTTATTTATTGAATAGGTTATTAATCATGAGATTCGTTCAGTAAATTACATCAAACATGTTTTAGGGTTAAATAGCCAATGAATCATATCGATAGTTGGTATTTCTATAGCGACAACATCCATCGCACACGGTAATGTTCGATGCATCTATGGCAAACAATACTCAGAATGCAGGTACAATGAACTCTTTTAATACATACATTGTACTTTTAAATATT